GCCTTGAGGCATGGAACATATGTACCAAATATGCCAAAGATGTCTACAAAATTATCTCAGTTATTATTAAAAAACTGATTATTTTTGAAAACTTTGCCACCCTGTATCTCAAAAGTTAAGGCGTTTAGGACATACGTCCATAGGAAGTTTTTTCTTAAAATGGGTCTAAGAATAACCTCCTTAAATATTAGCATGTGTTTAAGGAACACCCTGTATAACAAAGGTTTCTTAGAAAATAAGACTTTTAAAATTTATTATTTTTTATGGTAGGACTCTATATTTTTATTAATCTTCTAGCAGTTACTCTGTGATTTCATGTACTTGACTATGTTTTTTCTTTTCTCAAAAAAGCAATGTTCACCAAAGCTTTGTCAATAAGAAATTCTCTTTAGACAATAAAGCATATTTTTTATTATTATTTTGGATAAATGTTATCTACATTCATTTCAGATATTAAATCTGAATTAATTATTATCCTTGGCAGTATTTCGATGTTTAGATTATGGTGCGAAATCATCTGATATCAGATTATTTTATAAAACTACTGTTTTCACATTATATGGACCTATTCAAATTCATGTTTCGGCATGGGGATCTCGTAAACGGTACATCTTAAAAATGGTTTTATCTTGGCTACTTTGAAGTTGTATTTGAAATCCCTAAGTTATAGGAGATAATTTGAAAGACTCGCAAAAAAAAATTCACCAGCATAAGTGTATACCTAATATTTTTTATTAAATAAAATGAACTTGTTTCCAATGTTATCAATGTTGGCAAATTTTAGATAATCTGCAGAGTAAATTTATTTTATATTTTACAATAATGTGAAATACATAATATATGAGAGGTTAAGAAATGAGTAATGAGATACTCAACAAAGCTGCATTTGAGTTGATGTGCCATTGAGCCGGCAGTGCAGTGCCAGGTCTTCTGATGTCATTGGCAGGTTGTTTCAGGGACGTCATTTCAAAAGACATGGGAGTATTCAGGACATCATTTAAAATGTGACATCTACTGCATGGCAAACATAAGCCGAAAGGCTAACAAAAGAGTGGTGTATTTGTGAATTTTAAAAGTTTCACTAGCCATTCTAATTTCTCACAAGAATTCGAGCTGGTAGTCCACAATCGAAAAAGAACTTGTAATATCAAGGTTTCGTTTGCTACTACAGCAAACATCTTCGTGGTTAGGTGCTGATTGCTATGCTAACGGTAATATCTCGAAATCTCTGTAATTACTGACTGGAAAGGCGGAAGTCATCTTGAATTTAGTCAGGTTGGAGCCTAGCGCCCCTACTCTTTGAACTGATCTGACTTCATGTTCACTTGTATTTATACTAGTAGGGAGTGGGTTGTTCATAAGCATGCTCACTTCTGGTTAGTCGGCATTGGTGATTGGTTGAACTCATGGGTTTGCGTTGTTGATGATTGTGCTGCCTGTTGAATATCAATCGGAGTTGCATTTTAGCTCATGTCTGACCTTGAGTTTGACTCCTATACCTTCTCCTTCCTATACCTTCCTGTACAGCCATGTGTTGTACTGTAGATAAGACAGCAATAAAAAATAAAACTCTAGCGTAGAATAAATCCAGGCACAAGCACTTTTCCAAATCAACAGAAATGCAATTGTCTTCTCGACGCCGTTTCACCAACCAATTTGGCGTCTTCAGAAGATGAAGTACAATAATTCCTACTCCTCAACTGGTCTCAATTCATTTGTATTTTTTTTTTCAGATGCACATCAATGATTTCGAGTAGAAATTTGTGGAAAATTATCTTGTAAGTTTCCGCTAATTTAGCGATTCATATAGAGATTGACAATAGACTGTTTGTAATGGGATCTTTGTCACTGTTCATAGTTCTCATGCCACACTTTGCTATTTCCAGCCTCTCGAAAGCATCCAAAAATCTCATGTCCATATACTAATCTCAAACACCCCCCTGAATGTGCCAACTTGGTTGGTGAAACGCACGTTGAGAAGAGTAAACTACCAACCGCAGCATCAACACCAGTAGACAAGGAACATTGGTCTACTGCGCCGAAAGGAAGTAAAAGCCATAAAAAACGAGAAGAAGATGACAAGGAACAAGCCAAGCTGCTGCTTTATAGAATCAGAGAAATCCGGAATAATAAGGTTCGTTCTGGTTCTACGAAATTCAGGTTCTAGGACGTCAGGATCATGCGCAGTTGATATAGAGCGTTCTGGTTTATTGAGGATAATTTCGGACTGATGAATTCTCTGTTCTGGTTTCGACTGCGAAATGATCCTAAACTGTTTTAAACCGTCCCGAATCGTTCTTGCTCTCGAGGCTGAACTGTTGAGAACTGTTTCCGTTGCTCATGCGCATTCATGTGGAAATTTGTTTGGGATATTTGCTAGGATGTTTTTTCATTTATTTGATTTGAATAATTGATGATTGAGGGTAGATAATATTTGAACTGACTATAAGGATAGGTTACATAATAGGTTTGTTCTGGTTCTAACATCCGAAACTATTTGGAAACTGCGCAAGACATGATGCGTACAAACAAAAAATCTCAAACAGTCCGAAATAGTCTCGGACACTTGTTTAAACCAGAACGCTTTTGAGGAGACTACTGTGCCACCTATCGTATATATGAAGAGATGAAGACGAGAAAATACTACTGATCATGTCCATTTTGTTATGTAGCGTATCCTTATAGTCAGTTCAAATGGTATCTACCCTCAATCATCAATTATTCAAATCAAATAAATGAAAAAACATCCTAGCAAATGGCCCAAACAAATTTCCACATAAATGAGCATCAGCATTTAAAGCATAAGAATTTAAAAAACCGTGTTTCGCCATACAATAGATTTATTAGCGATAGATAGGAAGCTATTGTTGAGATAAAATACGTGTTGTGGTTTCGTATAATCCCTAAAGCGAAAATCTCACCAGTCAATGAAATCATGAACATGGCGAAAGTTTTGAAAACAATCATTACAAAATGTAAAACATCAACGAAGCTATTTCCAGACCATTTGACAGTGTAACTGTGTAGCACCTGAGCTTCTTATTTCCACAAAACTTGATATTCTGTGACAAAACAGTCAAAGTTGGTGCGTTTACTATGAGGAAATTGATAATTTATTTGAGAACGGTCCCTGTAACTAATTGCCTATAAGATGGTTTCAGAGTGAAAAGCATACTCAAGAAGTGTTAAAATTTGATTGCACTGACTTTGAACAGGACATATCCGATTTCGGAGACCAGAACAATCTAGTGTTGCTCAACGTACCTTGGAGAATATCCATGAAACTGTCTGAAATTTTCGAGATCGGTACATGACACTAGATTTTTAGATGCTTTCAAAAGTTCCCATTCTGAACAGTCCATTGTTCATGTCTGTATAATAATAATCACCTTTATTTCTCACATGAATTGTACAATTCATATTTGTAACCATGAACTGATAAACAAGAGAAAGAGGCGGAATTTACTTCAATCGGAGACGAGACCTCCACTGAAATATTCTTCTCTATGTCCTTCCACTCAACCCTGCTGAATTAGCGGAATCATTAATGTGTATCTGGAAGTGAAAGTGTCAGATATAAATAGAGACCAGATTCAGAGTTGAGAATCTTTCACTTCATCTCCTGAAGACGACAACTTAGTTGATGAAATGTGCGTCGAGAAGAGTGTAGCAGTTCTCGCGGTAGGGAACAGTGCTTGTGATAGAAATGGCCGATACTTGATGATCAAGTAACACTTTATTGTGAAATTTCCACTAGATAGTTTACAAAACCGCAACACGTATTTCGCTATACAATAGCTTCATCGAGCGTTTTCATAGGGTATGTTTCATTGTCTTGTCTATTGTAGTGTGCAGATGTTTGCATTTAAAATGAATAGTTATTATGCGAGGCGTTTGCTGTCTACAGACAACAGTTTGATAACCCATTGAAAAAAGCGCGAAAACTGAAATTCGGTTAGCTTTTGTAGTGATTTAGATTTGTAAAAGAGGTTATGTGAATGTTTGGGTTTTTTCATCTTTCCTTTCATATCCTAAGTACCAGGTGTACTGTTTACTTATTAGTTTTGAAGTTTGACTGATTGTTGTGATTAATTACTCAAATACTTATATATTCACCAAAGTTATGAGTAACCTCAGGGAAATAGTAAATGGTAGTCAGCTCTTTGCTCATACTAACAAAAAAGTGAGCCTTACAGGATATGTTATGCAAAAGGCACCTAACGGATTATGGTTTGAAATAAAAACCACAGATAATCAAGTTGTGAGAGTTACAGTGAAGAGACCTATTGACAGTCAATTGGAGGGTTACGTTGAGGTAAACCTATAGCAAATCTAAAAATATGCCAAAAAAACGTTAAACTTATTTTCAAATGAAATACAATGCTGGTTACTTTTCAATTGAATTACATTCTATCAGGGGCGGACACAACCCCTAAAATCTTGAATGGAAAGGTGTGTTGAGTGATACTTTCTTTTCAGTACTTCTGGAGAAATCAAGTGAAACCCTGAAGGTATTTGAGTAGGTATCAAGTGTTTTGCAGTGAAACATTCTTCTCTGTAAATCTTACAAATCATGTCTTATGGATTTTTGAGAAACGTTAAAATAAATCATGAATGAAGTGGGTCTCAAAATTCAACCTTGAGATACTGCGGTTACAGTGGGCCTAGAACCTGAAACAAAATTTATTATTTTCACCCGTTGACAACCTAATATAATGAGGAAAACAACAAAAATGCAATACACCACATCTTCCTAATTTAGATGGAAGGATATCATGTTTTACAGATTCAGATAATTCTGTCAACAACTAGAGCTAAGATATTTTTTGTGTGTCAAGTGTTGATTGAATTCATGTTGACAATTAAATATTCTTTTTGCTAATCAAAAAATTTCAGTCATTCTCGACAACAGGGAATTTTTTCATTTAAAATTGGCATGCAACAAATCTGTGGATAATGATAAAAATATAATCCTTGAAGCTCAACCGTTTGAATATGAGGGACTAAATAATCTCTTTATGAGGGACAAAATATCTTTTTAGATATAGGTAACAGGGGGCTTGGAGAAACAAATAAAACAAACTAATATCATTCAATATATTGTGACATTCAACTGAAGTTGGTTATTGCTATATTTCAATGAATTTTAAATTATTATCGTAACATTTATCCTATGTATATTATGATCTATGTTTATTTTTAGGTTCATGGTATTTCAACAGGAAAAGGAATGATTGCAGATGATTATATCACATTCACCAATGAAAATTTTGATGCAAAAGCACACAATACCTTATGTGGTCTTCTGAACTCAATCCCACGTTTATGGAATACTTCATGAAGTTATTATTTTGGCATTTCAATATTTAAGCTTTTGTTCATTTATGATGGTATAATAAAAATTATGTTTCAGTAATACATGTTATATTAATTGATGCCAATCAACTGTCGCACCCCTACGAACGATAACCCTCGGAAGTCGAAACTTGTGCGAGCTAAGGATTAAAGGTCTTGCCTTTTAACGTGTGATTCCTAACACGGGTTGGATGATAGCAAGTGAAAATTGATCGTTCAGACTGGGGCTTGAACCATCGACCAACACGGCAGTCAATTCGAGTGAGTGAACAAAGCATCTGTATCGAACCACCTGGCCATCGACCGCCAATGATTAACAATTGATAATTGATCATCCGAATGAGTGTGTTACAGTAGAGTGATTTCTAAAATATGATTTTTTTGGCAGTAATCATTTTACACCATTTAAAAAAAATCAGAAAATCAATTTGATCAGATTTTTTTCATAGTTAATTGGGTAGCTTTGAAAATATACTTGATATGAAATAACATAATAAACCACTGAAAATAGTCCAGTGCAATTAACTGAATATGACGCAAGGAACTACTTTCATTCATTTTTGCAAACCATTATTTACCAAGCTGTTCAAAAATATTGCCCCATCAAAATAATTGAAAGGGGTATTTTTTTTAGGAGAGATTCATTTTTTGGGAAAGAAAGGTTTTGGCTTAATACTTCATCTTTATACAAAAACATGTGGGAATCTTCCAAAGAAAGGAAGGAAGCGACCAATTTTAATATTGAAATTTGAAAGTTATAATGAAAAGGCGAATCTCGAAGTGATTTTGAAAAAAAAACGCTGGAAAATTTTGAACAGCAATACATTTTGAATGACTAAAGGGACTTTGATCTGTTACGCACTATTTGACGTTATTTCAATCAGTTGAACTGTTCAAAAAATATTTAAAATTTGCTTTTTTTTATTTATTTTCGCAAAATTCACTTGATGGATCTGATTCAAATTTGGTTTAGTGAATAACTTAGAAACTCTGCGAATCCCATTTAGATTGATCAATCGATTCAAAAGATATTTGAGTGTTACCTATACAAAAATAATCCAAATAGTTACTAGAACCTAGAAATATCGAGATTCGATGGAAAAAGTATAACTGGAGAAGTAGAACACAGCACATCGGAAAATCCCCATTCGTTGTTTTTTCAAATTGATTTTTCCCATCATTTTTTTCAACACAATAATTAAAAAATTAGTAATGTATATATTTCATTATTATCCCGTTTACTCTTAACCCAGGCTTGTAGAGAGCCATCCGGATACTAGAACAAAATAGGGATGTATGTGGTGACCTTAGCTGCAACAAAGAAACAAGCTAGGTTGAGGTCCCGTATCACACGAGGCAAACTAACCCAAATTATGTATTGATAGGAAGAATTGAAACCTCTGGCGTCAAATGAATCTATTGAAAACACCTCCCACAAAAGAACAAAAGTGTTGGTGCACCAACCAAGTAAGCAACATAAGGAAATGACTAAAACTTAATTTTCGTGGTTATGTTATTGTTTTCATATACATTTGGACGAACCATCCCTTACCTAATGAAGGTCATTAAATAAAAATAAAAAATAAACGATTCAGTAGGGATGGAACCAAAGTTCACATAGCAAATAATAAAATCAAAAATAAAAGGAACACAAAGGGTTTCAGTTAAAACTTCACTGAAGTTACTTCCGAAACAACGCACTTTTCTTATTTATTTTATACACCAAATACCTACTCATAATGGAATTGGAACAGATATACCTACATAGAAGTGCTTCAGAACTTAACATATGGAAGATAGTGTTCAAATAAAACTTCAATTACAGAAAAGCATCCAATCTCAAAAACTAATTTTCTCTAAACATATAACTCTTATAACCAATTCAATAAATAAAAACCTCTGTTCCTCATTTATTTACCTATTAGATGTTCACCATAGTTATATATTATCTCCAGTTAATTAGAATAAAATATGTTACTATGAAGTAATTAATATCAAATATCGATTTCAGGTATGTGAATATGGATAGTTTATCGTGATAATATCATAGATTGTTATAAAAATCCAAATTGTGTTTACTGTGACTTTTCCCATACACGGTTTGGTACTTTTTCGCATATATTCACCACGACACGAAATTCATTGAATTCATAATAATCACTACCAATTCGCCAACTGATTTAATTATAGATATTTATGTTTGACTCCACATCGCCGACATCGTACATATAGGTAGGTATTCATAAAATCAATTCATGAAATGACGATAAACCCCTTTTTCATCTTTCTAAAATGATACCCATGTGTTGTTCATTAAGTAAATGTTTTTTTTCTTCAATTTTAACTTTTATATTCACAATGGACTCGAGTATAACATACCAGTCATTAAAATCATTACACTTTTTTCCATACCTCAAAGTGAATTGGTCAACCCACACCATTCAGGAGATTATTTAAAGTTCCCGGCACTGAATGAAACGTCAGACAGTAATCTGAAGGTGATGGCGTCAGTTAATTTATTGTCAGTGCGGTAGGATTATAATTTTTCCCGATATTTTTAATGTCAAATTAGTAATGAATACGTTGGTGCTAGTGGCAATTATTATCTTTAATGTTGAATAAATATATCTAAAAAGATGTTACTTGAAGAATAAAGTGAATAACGCGAACATATTTCGGAAAAATAATTGGTTTTCCTGTCACTTTTGGAAAATCATCTAGGCCATTCGGATGAGACGCCGATGAGCTTCCAGTACCTTCCAGAAAAGTTGTGAACATTCTCGAATATAACCTTTAAATATATAAGGAGAAACGGTCATCGCGCAGGGAGTGAACGATTTGTCGTGAAGTGGAATAGTTGTGCTTACGTTTATATTAATCTTTTTGATTAGTGTTCCATATTAACACCTGTGAATAAACGGTTACTGAATATTTGTGATTGGACTGCGTAGAACAATGGGAAAGGATTATTACAAAATTCTAGGCATCCAAAAAGGTGCCAGCGACGACGACATCAAAAAGGCATATCGAAAACTTGCATTAAAATACCATCCGGACAAAAACAAAGCTGCTGGAGCTGAAGAAAAGTTCAAAGAAGTTGCCGAGGCGTATGAAGTACTTTCGGATAAAAAGAAACGAGACGTATATGACAAGTATGGTGAGGAAGGTCTCAAAGGAGGCGTCCCTGGCGGTGGACCAGGAAATGGTAATCCCAGCAACTTTTCGTACACTTACCATGGCGATCCAAGAGCAACCTTTGCACAGTTCTTCGGAAACTCCAGCCCTTTCTCTGCTTTCTTTGACTTCGGAAATACTAATCGTATGTTTGGTGGAATGCATGACGAAGACATGGAAGAGGATGATCCGTTTGTTTCTCTTGGAGTCGGTGGACCGCCGAGACCAGGTGGACCAGCCGGGGCCTTCCGTAGCCATTCTTTCAACTTCCACAACAGTCCCAATAGAAACAAAGACAAGATGCAGGATCCCCCAATAGAGCATGATCTCTACGTTTCATTAGAAGATATCACAAAAGGGTGCCAAAAGAAGATGAAGATAAGCAGAAAAGTGTTGCAACCCGATGGAACAACAAAAAAAGAAGACAAAGTTTTGACAATTAATGTGAAACCTGGGTGGAAAGCTGGTACAAAAATTACATTCCAACGTGAAGGTGATCAAGGCCGAAATAAGATTCCAGCAGACATTGTTTTCATTATCAGAGACAAGCCCCATCCTCAATTCAAACGTGAAGGCAGCGACATCAAGTATACAGCTAAAATAACATTGAAGCAGGTGAGTTATCAGTATATTTCTTCATTTTTTAGGTTCTGCCTATATGTTTGAATAAATTTAGAATTTTGCTAACGTTCTAAATTTAGCTTCTATTACTTGACCCACTCTGACGTCTTGACTCTTAAAATAATATCATGACTATTTATAGATGATTTGCTTTTAAATCAAAGAATATTATCAAACTTCAAAAATGGAAATACTAAATTTGAATTTCTTTTGTTACAGGCCCTTTGTGGATGCACCATTGAAGTTCCAACTATGTCTGGTAAATCTATACCACTACATTATACTCAGGAAATAATTAAACCAAACTCCGTGAGACGCATTCAGGGATATGGACTACCTCTACCGAAAGAACCCTCCCGTCGGGGAGATCTCATAGTTAACTTCGATATCAAGTTTCCGGAGAATCTTTCACAATCAGCAAAGGATATTCTATATGATACTTTACCTAACTAGATTGTGACTCCCCTGAAATTTGAGACAAACTTGTACGTTTTAGTACAAATTGAGAATTTTATTTTACATAATTTAAGCCTTTAACTTAATAATGTAAATAAAAATTAGCTTTCTTGAGAATAATATACTGAAAACAGAAAAATTATTCGGAAATATCTTTATTTAGTTCTGTAAGGTCACTGAATAAAAATTGTACATTCATTTACGTTAACTTCTATCTACAATGATCTCTTATTACGAAATCATTTTGCAAATTTTTGCATGCTTTATTTGGAGAACCACATTCCTTTTTGGAATTTATTTCAAGGACATGGTCAAATGAAGCCACCCACACATTAGTTGTTCAAAAATACATTTTTCAATGTGAGGAGGAGTAAAATTAGTTCATTGGACCAGATGTTAAATGTAAATTTTTTAAACTCTAAAAATTTGTTTTATTTTCCAGGTGTGTACACACAAACGTCCATATTGATAACTGCAGAATTCACACGAGAATATTCATTATTGTGATTTTGTTACATTGAAGATGGTATCTAGATTTGATTTTCACCTTGATTTCATACATACTGAGCCTAGCTTATAAATCAAGAAGAGAAATGCCATTTCTTATATGCACGGTAGGTTGGCGTGAGTGGTTTATTTCACTCATTCAATCGATCGTTAGGTGAAACGATGGTTCGAGCCGGACGATCAATTTTCACTGCTTATTGTCCAACCAGTACTAATAATCGCACGTAAAAAGGTAATACCTCGTTAATTATGAAAAATGAAACTTTCTATGTTCTTTACCACTTTTATTTGTAACTAACGTTACTACAGTTCCGTCCTATGTGGACATTTTCAAACTAATACAATGAAACTGTCCATATAGGACAAAACTGCAGTTTTGATAGTTACAAATAAAAGTGGTTTCTGACCACTTTTATAGAAAGTTTCATTTCTCATCTTCATGATGATTTCCTACAACCCTGTAATGGCTACATCAATCAGCTTACCTCGTTGATCCTTAGCTCGCACAATTTTAGACTTTTGAAGGTTGTCTTTGGTAGAGGGTGATAGCTGATTAACGGAAAAACATTTTTTGAACTTGAAAATGTACTCAGGTCAATAAAATTTTTAGGTATATTAAAATTATGTGAATTTGATAGAAAACAATTGCTGAATTGAGTAACTCAGTCATGTGACAATGCAAAAAAGGGTAACTTGAGAAATCTCATGTTCAACTAATATTTTTCAAACTTGTTTGAATGGTGTAAATTAAAATATTTTTTTATGGACTGATATATAGTTTACTACAATTAGGGACACAAAACCTCTATTGAAAGAGGAAGAAATAAACAATTTGTATGAAATGTAAAAATACCTATTTGCAAAAAAACAACTTATTGTGACTCTAAGTGTAAATCAATTAGTAAATTTATTACACAATAAATAAAATGTGGATAATATATAAAAATTAAAAAATGATTGCAAACTAAGCTACTTCTTCACGACGGCTCAGTTATTAGTATCAACAATCGTCTTCGGCCGATAACAGTTAGTAATTAGCTGAGATAGATGGTGCTAACAGAATTTTTACCTGAAAAGCTTGGTTTTTTTACCTACCCATCTTTGACAGGTGCAAAATATTTCAATAATTTATTCCAAGGCGTTAGAAGTGACAAAAAGAGAAACATTATATTTTTAAAGGAGTACGTATAGTTTTCTTTTAATAGTGAAAGAAAAGCAGTAAATACATGAGGTTTTGACATAATGAGTATATTTTCAATAGTTTCTTGTTTGAACAATTAATTGTTCTTTATTTTTTCTGTTCACATCAAGATAACTATAGAATGTTTGTACTTATCACTGTTTAAATCTCACTACAAGTAACAATTTTTATATTTTTTTTTCATTTTGTCCTATTCACTCCAGGAGATCTGGATTTTGTTGAGAGTCTAAAAGTACAATTTTCAAAAAATGTTCTAGCTTTCGAGTCTTTATTGGCTCTTTATCAGGAACTCTACTATGAATTGATGATTGATTTTAATATTTATTTAACAAATTGTGAAATGTGTGACACTTACGAAAGTGAGGTTAGTAATCCCTTTCACTTGCCGCGATTTGTAAACATAACATTTCCCAAACGACAAACACTCTTGGTAAAAAACAACATGAAAATANGAAATATTTGAAATTTCCCCACGTAATACACAAATTATTACGAACATAATTTCCAGAGTTTTTATTTTCCCTAGATATTTTGAGTTTTTTAGGTAGCTGGGTACCCTATTAAAAATAATGTTGAGATGGCCTTCGTCTTGATGCTACTAGTCGAAAAAAAAAAATTCACAAGCCTTACTCGAAACATTATGTGTCTATGTGGTTCTAGAAAGAAAATCGATCCTGATTAAATGTTTCAAAAGTAGAAAACTATTCATATGAAAATATTCCTATTGAGCGAGATTTCTGCTGATGATAATTGTGATATTGAAATTATGTCAACAACTTAGTTGTTGTATACCATTAAGCATACATTGAAAGTTTTTATTGAGACTGGGAAATGTACAAAAGTAGTTTATTGACAGATTCCATAACAATGAACTTTATTCTGACATCAATGTATATTAATAAACACATGAATTATATAAAAATAATGAACTCTACGATTTAAAATATATTAAATATCGGCATCAATACAAATAAAATAGTGGGATAAGTGTGGACACCATACCATTTACTTACCCGAATATATTATGAATATGCACCAATGGCAATGGTCGAAATTATTTTCACCCAATATTGATTCTTATAGGAATTCAGGTATACTTGATATTACTTTTCTCAGATACCAGAAAAGAGTAAGTGAGAACTGTACCTCCCTTAGATTTTATACAACTAAAAATCTGTACAATGTAGATGTAAAAAGTTCCCCCCTCCTAACTATTAAACTAGACAAGATATCAAGGACGAAATCTGCCTGAAAAGGTATCACTTTTATTACATTCTAATAAGAAAAATAATATTTGGAATATGACCTGTTACTCGGAAAAAATCATTAAAACTATTAATGACAATAATTACATAAAGGTTAAACCGAATAGTGTTTGACTGTTCGGCGCATATCTAATGAAAAATAATAGTTTTGCATCACTTGTCGTCGACAAGGCGCTACAAACTTTTTTCAAATGAGAAGGGGTGGGGGGAGTTTTGTGATAAATGGTAAACATTTTGAACGTTTAGTGCAGTTTTGACTGTTTTTTTTTAAATCATGATATTTATCCTTTGTTTGCAGATTCTCAAAACAAATATGAAACTGATAACTACTCAGGAACGGCTATTCCAAAATTAAAACAGTATATTGGAAACAGAACTGAAATATCTATTAAATGAGTTATCACAAGAGCCCTCTTTCTGAAAGACATTTTTTGTGGAGGACTCAATACTTCTTACTGTTTTTTTGAGTATATAACCTTCCACAATCTGAAAAGTTCACCCCGAAAAGTTACTGCGTATTATAAACCACTGAAGAGTCGAATTAGTGAATAACTTGTCGTATTCATAAATTTGGCCTATAGATTTGAAAAAATCAATTGAAAAAAAATTAAATATTTATACTTAGCTTTATTTTGTGATCGACGTTTCGGAAAACAATCTTGTTCCGCTTTCAATACCTGAAATTCACTTTCGTCTCAAATTGTGAATAGTTCTAATTTTTTTGACATACATCATAAGAATGAAATGTTCAGACGTCATATGCGGAAAAAGATTGTTTTCTAAAACGTCGATCACTAAAGGAAGATAATTATAAAAATTAAAATATTTTCAGTTGATTATTTCCATCTGTAGTCAAAATTTATGAATACGATAAGTTACTGACTACACTACAGTGGTTTATATTAAGTAGTTACTTTTCGAGGTGAACTTTTTGTCCTTTATTACATTTCGGCAGATTCTTTATTGATTTAGCTTTGTTTATTTTCCAGACGATAGAAGGTTATATACCCAAAAACAGTAAGAAGCTCTTTAAATATTTGAAAAAATAGTTGGTAGTGCACTTTTGTCGATGAGTGATGTAACATTATTGTCTTTCTTATCAAAAAGCACTATAGATGATGCCGTTATTCATAAATGTTGTCAGATTTTTATATTTTTTCCAATTTAAAATTTAAGAGAAGAGGACCTTTTTTTAATCCACA